TAGTAGGGATTTAGCTTAGTCATTGTTGGCCATCGGTACTGACAATTTTACAATCATTTTACAATCACGTATATAATGCATATATGCATATATTTATTAAATTTAACAAATTTTTGGTCCCATTACCTATGAAATTCAGAGAGAAAGTTTTTAAAAATAATATCAGTATTAATTTTATACAGATATACATTAAACAAATTCACCTAATCTTAGCAGAAAATACTCTTCATTTCTTGGTAAGTTTTTCAGCAGTTAAATACGGAAAAATTGAAGGGATAAGAAACAGAAAAAGAGAAAACAGAAGGGACAAAACAAAGATTTTTTTACTTTAAATTAATACTTTTAATCAGATTAACTGCATAATATTCTACCCAATAAATTGGAAAAAAAAAATTTTTACGAGTTATTCTATGTATACCAAATATATGAATGATAAATGATAAAAGATCAAATACAACCCAACACCGCAACTAAAAAAACTGCCGAGCGCCGTTTCCCGTGTCACGGTAAAATCTAAATAATCAACCACCAATCACTTTGTTTAATTTAAAATCCACACACGAGATTATATATATACCCTCTGCTTATCACACGTTGTACACCCTCATCTCTTACCCTGGCGCTTTAATTGTTTCCCTAATCGTAACGAAACAGGCAAAGAGTCCCCCCTTCTCTCCTTTTCCCTTTCGATTTTCCATTTTGCTCTCGAGTTTTATGAAAATTCACACGCGAATACGTAGGTACGCTCTGTTGTACTCGACACGTGAATCTTAAGCAACATTGCAATCAAGCTATCCAGTGGGTGTCGACATAAACAAAATTTTCTTCATCCAAAGTTCAATTAATTAACTACGAGGCCCTTTTGGCACCCCAAGCTCTACTTGTATCTTTTCCTTTTCAATTAACGCGATAACAAGAAGCGTATAAGTATACAACCCTTTTTTTAAATTTTCATGGCAGTAATAAGTGGTACAAGGTTTGATAGACAAAAAAAAAGGTATTGGATGATACTTTACTTTTTTTTTCTCGCATCGAATGTAACGTTTTTTGGGAAAAAAAAAAAACGAAATAAAAAATAGGTACCGCATAGAAAAGTAAAAGAGATCCAAGTAGGTACCTACCTAATAAGTATATTATCTATCCAAAGCAAAGGAAATTAAGAGTGCGCACGCAGACGCAGTTCAAGTGCGTAAAAAGGAAAACGCGGACTCCTGTCCGGCTATTGTTGTACAGACGCGGACCGATCGGTCACCGAGAGTGGCGCATCACTTGGCCGGAGTAGCGCTCACCAGTAGTAACTCGTGTACGGATTGTTTATCGAGTGCTCGCCTATTTTTTTTTCTTCTTTTTTTTCGTTTTTTGTCCAAATTGTTTCTGTGATTGATTTCAAGTGCGAGCAATCTTGTTTAGTGGTATTGGTTATCGCGGTTTCAATATTAATTTTTACAGGCAATTTGTTGAATTTTAAAGACCGATTTTAAGAGGAAAAACAAAAAAAAAATTCAATTTCGTCGCAGTCATGTATGGAATGCTACTGGAAAGCATACAGTACTTCGTACAGGTTTGCGATAGTTTGATTGTTACTTTAAGTGTTTATTTAAAATATATGCGCGTGTTGTTTTTCGTGTTGCGCACAAACGAAGATCGTCACAGCTTTTAATCCTACAGGTTATATGGTTGAACAAAAAAAAAAAAAAAAAAAAAAAAATACTCGCCAAAGCCTAATGGTAACTGAAACTTATCGCTTGATCCTTTTGTACGTTGTACTTACGTGATACGAGCGATGATTTTAGCTTCGTGATACGAAACGATGTCCTTTGAGGAAAAGACGATATCGGACTAAGAAACAGAAAAAAAGTTTACTGATTATACAGGTAATAGATGAGATCTTTTTATCAGAATGATAAGCCAAAATAAAGAGATTCGCAGCCTTTTATTATCTGCCATCAGATAGGAAGGCGTGAAAGGAGCCAAAAAAAAGTATCCCCTAGTGTATACGGTATTATACTTTTTTTTTTTTTTTTTTCTTTTTCTCGGAACAGATCGACTTTTTTCTCTTTTACTCATCCCAAATACAAATCTCGAGTTTTTACGACTCACCCACCCATCAGTAGCAGAAATTGTGATCTGTATTTAATAACAATGAAAATAAATAAATAAATTGCAATCTTTACGAAATAAAAGTCATTTTTATCTAATTAAAAATAAGGATTGTTATATTTTACACTTTTCGAGGGAAACATTTGCATAAACAACGTATAATAATCCATCACATAATTTGTCGTTCAAAATTTACGTGTGGTATATAAAAGTATATACATCAACATATACTTTTCATCTTGCGTGACGCACCCCCTAAACGATGTTTCATCGCCACCTGCTATGTGCTCGCCATAAATATACACTTGCGTCAGCCGATACAGCGTGTATCGTATACCTGTACAGATAGATGTTTGATTAACGCGGCTTTGAGAGAAACATCCATCTTCAACGTCGGCAATAGATGTATTGGTAAAACAATGAAAAACTTTTTTTTTTTTTTTTTTGGAAGGGGCGTGGTGGCAAACTTTCGGACGCTATCGATTCTGCGGACACGTGCTGGCTCGTTAGCCACAGACATGGGCAATTTAACGAATGATTACCAATTGTTTTTAAAAATCAAATGGAATCGGAATTTTCCGATCGTCAATAATCAACAAAGTTTTGCCCCGTCATTGTATATATCAAACGAACTCTCGTAAGTACACGTTTTGATGGATGTACATACACAATAGCGTACATTGTAAATTAAATTAAAATAAGAAAAATAAGCACACGCGGGCTTTGCTCCATCGCAACGATCCCTCCCAACAGTTGTATAACACTTATATATACCCCTGTAGCGCTACTTGATTAGGTACATATATTATATACTACGCACACTCGATCGAATCGATCGTTCTTTTAACTCATGGCATACTTACTTCTTGCCCATCATCAACCCCATGGTTCGAATAAACAAACAAGCTGTAAGGCGCACATCGTTTCTCTATATACACGCGACGAACTGGACATAAGTATACCTAGATATGTATTTCAATGAGTATGAGATTTTATTTTCGACGAGCTTCAAAATAGTATATAATTATACACTGATCGCGCGTAAGTTTCTGGAAGGCGTGTCGGTTTATTCAACCGAAATAATATTCATCGTACGCCACACCGCGACGCTCCATGTATGTTATTTTGTTCAATTTCCGACGTCAAGTTCAAAAATTACCCCACCCCATGAGTGCATCGGGAACATCGGCATTGTATGCGTCTTTTCGTCGACGCTCCGGCCACACTCGATGGAATACCCAATCGCTTCGATCGCCGGCCGGTCGCTGTTGTTTTAAGGATTCTCATTTTATGTCCGCCGATATAACTCAATGATTATTATTCATCGTGTATACACATGCACGCGGTATCTATTGTACACGTGTATATACGTATGTATGAATACATACGCAGGAAGTGGGTAATTGGTATAATTGAATTTGTGGACATACAAACGTGTCTTCGTGACTGGTGCGCGTTTCGTTTGACAATAAAGTACCACCATCACGAGAAGGATAATGGAAATCGTTAAGGATCAGAACAGTAATGTAGGTAGGATGAAAAAGGAAAGTAAAAATAATGAAAAAAAACAAAGTCAAGTGATTCACTGCCATCGTTTGGTTTGATCGAGATAATAATAGCAGTATACGTATGGTGGTTGTAAAAATAAAAAATCGGCGTTTGTCTTAAATTTATACATGCGTGTGAAAATTACCGGCAATCAATTTAATGTAAGTATATAATAAATGAGAGTAGCCGAAAGTGCTCAATCGTCGAATGTGCATTAAATATTAAAGGAATCGAAGAGGGGAAAACCGCTCGGTGAATAATTGAGTAAAAAATAAATATACGTATACGCGGACACATATCGGTTGGTACGTACGTGTATGTATATATATTATTGACGCACGAAACTAATGTCATATTGTTTCACTTGTTTATTTATTTATTTATTTATTTTTTTCAACAATAAAGCTGCAGTACGGAGAAGACATGTGGCTGGACATTCTGGAGCGAGCCGGAGCAAAGCACACGGTTTTCAACACTCGGCAGACCTATCCTGACGATTTGATGACGAAATTAGCCGCGGGACTCGCAATGCACACTTGCGAGACCGTCGACAACGTCATGAAATTTTTCGGCAAATGCTTCGTACGGTTTTTCAACAATCTCGGGTGAGCCGTAGACGAAATAAATTGTACCTATACTCGATAGATCGCGCCAACCGATTTTTTTTTACCGATCTACCTCGACTTTTTGTTGTTGTTGTTGTTCATAACAGTTACGGCCGGATGATAAAGGCGACGGGGCGGTACTTTTGCGACTTCCTGCAGAGCGTCGACAACATCCACATGCAGATGCGCTTCACCTACCCGAAAATGAAGAGTCCCTCGATGTACCTGACCCACGTAGATCCGCAGGGGGTCGTTTTGGTCTATCGGAGCACGCGCCAGGGCTTCACTCACTACTTCATGGGTAATAACGTGTGACCCTATACACACACACACACACGCGCGAGCGCAATTATACATACGCATGGTATGAATTATGCATCCCTTCGCGGGATGATAAAATGGTTGCAGGGCAACTCTTTCAAATAGCCGAGGAGCTTTACGAGACCTCGCTGGACATCCGAGTTCTCGAGAGCTCGAACAACATTCCCGGCACCAGGAGCGTCATGGTCAAGTTCCGCATTGACTTTGACAATCGCAATTACGTGAGTCGCAGTCGAGGCATCATCGCCTACGAAACATTGACGCTAATCGAATTACATAAACACACACTCACACATACGCAGATGGCGAAAAACTCGAGGACGAAGGCCCCGTTGTGCCAAGAACTCACGCCCGTCTCGTGCTCGCTGCTGTTGCGGCTCTTTCCCTTTGGCGTCGTCATAGACAAGGACATGCGCATCCAAGGGGTCGGGGGCAGGCTGCTCCAAGCTTGCAACAATGCGTCCTCGATCCTCGACAAGCACGTCACCGAGATCTTTCGGCTGCGCAGGCCCAAGGGCATCAGCTTCACCTGGGCCAGCGTGATTATTTACCTTTTTTTTCTTTTGCTCCATTTTTTTTTGTGATAATACATGTTACAATTGTTTTCGCAGTTCATGTATCTGCACTCGGTCATGTTCGAGCTGGAGCTCATGAGGTCGACGATAGAGGAGTGCGCCGTGGATCCGCGGCAAGCCGAAAGCAGCGGCAGCGACAATGGCAGCGATCATAGCGCGGCCAACAGTTTGATGCTCGCGCGGAGGGGCAGCCACGGCACGCGGAACATTTTACTCAAGGGCCAGATGAGGTACATCGACGACATCAAGGCCATCATCTTCCTCTGCAGTCCACTGTAAGTTTTTTTTTGTTTTGTTTTTGTTTGCACCTTCCTGACTTTGTTGACCAATCGGGGGCCATTTTTAGGATCAATAGCCTCGACGAGCTGCTCAGTATGGGCCTGTACTTGAACGACTTGAATCCCCACGGACTCAGTCGGGAACTCGTGCTCGCCGGCTGGCAGCACTGCGGGAGGTAGGCATTGCCTTTTTTCTTTTGTACCGTATTGATATTATTGACGTTTTATTTCATTCATCACTTTTTACCGTAAAAAAAAAAAAAAAAAAAAAAAAAAAAAAAAGGCTCGAGATGATGTGCGAGAAAGCGGAGCAACGCTCGCAAGAGTTGGAGCAGAGCTACGAGCTTCTCGATCGTTGGAAGAACAAGAGCGACGAGCTCCTCTACTCTATGATACCGCAGAGCGTCGCCGACAGATTAAGAGCCGGGGCCAGTCAGATGGACACCTGTGAGGTACACCTGTACTTGTGTGTTGTCAATTAACTTTATACGCCATGCATCCATATAAACTCACGTGGTGCTGTTCCCCAAGTCTTTCGAGTCCGTGTCGGTACTGTTTTGCGAGCTCTGCGACCTGAATTACTCGACCATCGAGGGCGCCATGGACATCGTCTCGTCGATGAATGCGGTCTACTCGTGCTTCGACTCGCTCATGGACAAGTTCAACGTGTACAAGGTATTCGGATTGTCTCGTGTCGTAAACTATGGACGCAACTGCAGCACGTATACAATGAATAAATAATATACATTTCAAACAGGTCGAGACGGTCGGGCGCGTGTACATGGCGGCTAGCGGAGCGCCGGACCGAACGCTGGATCACGCGATCAACGTGGCCGACGTGTCGATCCAGCTGCTGGCGCAGGTTCGCTCGCTCATCTTGCCGTCGGGCTTGGACCTTCAGATTCGGATCGGTAGTCGCGATTTATCGTCCTTTTCGGCCGAGGAGTGGAAAGATCGGTAACCGATTTTTTTTGTTTTTGTTTTTGAAATAGGAATACACTCGGGGCCGGCGGTCGCGGGCGTTGTTGGGATAAAGGTGCCGAGGTACTGTTTCTTCGGCGACACTGTCAACACGGCCTCAAGGATGCAGACTACCGGTCAAGTATGCAAACTCGCCTCAATGTCTTTTTTTTTTTTTTTTTTTTTTACATATAATTTATATGCGATTCTAGCAAGTTTTTATTCGTAAATGTTGCAATTCTTCGTCAATGACATAATAAATTTTATTCGGTAAAAGCCCGGGAAGATTCACATATCACCGCACACAAAGGCTCTACTACCGGATGATCGTTACGTCATCGAGTCACGTGGAGTTGTCAAAATTAAAGTAAGGCAAAAAGGGATGTTTATTTTTTTTTTTTCCGAGACTCGCAAAAGGAGGGGATAATACTTTTGATTTTCAGGGCAAAGGCGAGATGGAGACGTTCTGGCTGTACCCGAAGGAGGAGAGCGAACAAGGACCCAAGTTGGAGGAGGTGTCGATCGAATCGATCTAGTCAATGTGATGTCCGACAAATTGATGGATAATATATTATGCTTATGAATGGATAACAACGTGCTTTTATGACTTTTTTTTTTTTACGTGCGTTTCGTTTGTCTTTTAACCAAACTTAATGCAAATAACGACGAATTTAAACGACATTATTTTGTAAACACTTGTTTTTTTTTTTTTTTATTTCATCGTTTAAGCTCACGCATCGCGAACACAGTGAAACGGAGGTATGAGCCCTTAATGGTTTAGTTTTATGAAATAGATGTATGTAAGACATGTTTCTTGCCGATATGACTAGTTGTACGTGTGTATATATATATATGTATGATTTCTTAGAAAAATCCGTGGTTTTATTGAATACTCAATGATACGTATAAAAAATAAAAATCACAAATTAAACGTAAAAAACGAATTTACGGCAACGCGCCTTTGTCCATTGACGAATAAAAGCGTGCGTGCCGCGATGTATCTCGATGTATTGCGTGAGATTCGATCAAACACTGAGGCTCAGTCTATGTGTACGTAAATGTTACTATAAATAAAAGTAAAAAAAAAAAAAACAAAAAAAAAAAAAAAACTAGCCACTTATAGTAAAATAAATAAATAAACATCCTATGTATACTACATTCACATGTGAAATTTAGAAAGTTAATAATCTCTTTTGTGACCACAGCTTTGTTTGCCCAAACTCAAGAGTTCCGTGAGCTATTTTTTTTTTTCCTTCTTCTTCTTTTTTTGTTTACGTTTGTTTGTTGAACGTAAAAAAAAAAAAAATCATCGATTGCGCCACAAAACGTCCTCAGAACAGTAACAGGCGTCATCGGTGTTGCGCTTGATCCAAGTGAGGTAACGATTGACTCGCGTGTAAACCCCGGGAAAGCCGGGCTGGGCGCATCCTTCGCCCCACGACACAATTCCTGTGACGACGAGCACAAAAAAGGTTACATTAAAAATGCTGAAATTCGTCATTAATCACACACGAAGTATCTGTAATGACCGAGGCGTGCACTCACCGACCACTTGATGCAAGCCGTCTCTTCTCTTGACGTGAAGGGGACCACCGCTATCGCCCTAAATGGTAAAGATGTTTTGTAAATATTTGTAATGGAAAAGAAAAAAAAAAAAAAAAAAATCGGTAAATACATACCTGACAAGAGTCCTTCTGTCCCTCCTTGTATCCGGCGCAGAGCATGTTTTCGGTGATTTTGCGGGCCGGGTATTTAGATGCCCGACAGTTGGCGTTTGACATAATTGGCACGGTAACTTCTCGCAGGGTATTGGAAACAGGTCCGCCTTCCCCGGTGGCTCCCCAACCGGTCGCAATGCCCGTTTCGCCGGTGAAAGTTTTAGCTACACGCGAGATTCAACACAATTTCAGACGAGACGCGTTCTCTTTATCGTACATCCCACACCGGATGGATATATACACTTGTACGTGTCATACATTATATATATATATATAATGTACTTGACATATACGTTACACGCGTTTCAAATGCTAAACACACTCGGGCGGTGAAGAAGAAGAAAAAACGAAAGAAAACAAGGAAAAGCCCATTTTGCAGTGGAAAGCAATTGAAAACACAAAATAATATCCACGTGTATGTATATAAAAAATACAGACTCACCTCGCTCGGCCAGGCAAACCGGTCGCATTTTGTCGTCAAACACGAATTCCCCGTCTATCTTGATGAGCGCCACGTCGTTGTTGTACTGGACGTTCGAGTAGCCCGAGTGCTTGATTATTTCCTTGACCTTGAACTCTTGGCTCTTCGAGTCGGCTATCGAGTTGCGGTCGTGCTCCAGTATCCTCACGGTGACGTAGCTCATCTGAAACCTGTCGGTGGATGTATCGTATGGGCAACCGATCGATGCTAAATGTAAAAAAAAAAAACAAAAAAATAAGCGACCTTATCGAAAGTACCCACCTGTCGACGCAGTGCGCCGCTGTCAGGACGTATTTAGAGTTGATGACACTGGCGCCGCAGTAAAACTTGCCCCGGTAGGACAAAAGGGCGACCCACGGGTACTCGTTGATCTGAGTCTCGACGCCGCCGACGATCCTCTTTTGCGTGTTTGTCAGGCCGCAGTCTAGTTAAAAAAAAAAAATAATAGTAATAATAATAATAACAATCGTCGCAACCGATCTGAGTTGCAAAAAGTGACAAAAAAAAAAAATCAACTCACAACAGGGGCGACATTTTCCAGGTTGGCTCGAGGGCGGTGGTGGCAATGTCGTCGTAGTCGTGGTCGTCGACGACTGTAGCTGGTAGCCCAAAACGTTTTGCAGCCAATTGATGAAGAAATTCTCCTCGTCCGTCAGTACGACGATCTGCTGCTGCTGTATCTCGGTGCTCGTGGCCCACGACAGTTGACCCCCGCCCGTGCGCTCTCCGCCGCTTGTCCCCGGTATTTTCACCTTGACATTGTTTTTTTTTTCTATATTTATCATTGGTTCCATTGGAAACTGTTTAGTCTTCCGTTCGACTGACACCTACCTGGCTGCTCAGGATATCGGCTAAAACGATCGGCGCGAGGACGGCGCTCAGGACGCAAACGATCCCGCGCATTTTCCGATTTCTCGCTGGAAAATGCAATAACAATGGGGAGGAAAAAAAAAAAAAAAAGATAAAGCCAGCGAATCGCGCACTGTAAGGAACTTTCTCAGATGTACAACGAAGCGATCGGGTGCCGTATAGGTACGATCGATCGGAACTCGCGACGATTCGGCTCGGGCGACACTTTCACACAGGCCCGAGCCTCGGCGGCGAATCTTTATTTATACACACCAGAAGGAAGAAATAAAAGAGGCGGCGCGTCGACGGGCCCACCGCTCTCGGGAGTGAAAATTTAGGCTAGTCCCGAGCATACGACGTATATATATATATTTATATTCTAGCTCTCGGTGTACAAACTTGTGTGCTCTGCTCCCCGAGAAAGAGAGAGATGTGTGTTGAATGCACACGTATAGCATGTATTGATGCTACCGGTTCGCCTCCTTCCAACATATCGATTTTTTTTTCCCTCTCGTCCTCCTCTCATTTTTTTTTTTTTTTTTTTTTGCCATTTGGGGCCTTTTCTCGCTCGATGGTCGAAACCCTACTGCCCGAAACAGGTCCGCGCGCCGGTTGATATATAATGTCCCTCCCGCTGGGGAGAAATCGTTTTCTTGAGTGGGACGAGGCGGGATCAATATCTCGTTTCATCTCGTTTCGTCGTATATTCATGGTGGAAACGTTTGTCTGCAAAACTACATACTAATGGCGAAAAGATCACACGTTTTACTCTCACGAGCTTATACCGATCGGCCTATCCGGTAACAAAGAGTCGCCTAAGCGCTCGTTGTCTTAATAGCGTTTAAAGGCTCGTCGTCGGCCTCGCACTCTATTGTATAATGTAACACGATTTACCAGCCATCAACTGATGACGCTCCTCCGAAACTCCGTATCTGCTAAGGACATCGCTGCTTATCGGGCATCGGGCCCCTTCTCTGGAGAGAGAGGGAGAGAGAGAGAAAAAGAGGCATCGCATATCGAGCAGCATCGCCCCGTTATTTATACACGATAAACACACGAGCACACACATACACGTACGTGGTGATCGTCAGCATCGTTGCCCATCTGCAGTGGGCCAAGGTATATGGGTCATAGCACCCTCATGCGGGCTCCTCTCGATTTTTTTTATTTTTTATTATTCCTTTTATTTCGTCTCGTTTCTGCTGATTCATTGTCCCGATGCACTCGGTTTGTTGTTGTTAATTTTTTTTTTTATTATTCCCACATTATCGGTGCCATTATCAGCCAGAGAGGCGCACGCGAGCCTCGCCATCCTTTTATCTTCCTCTCTCTCGTTTGCCGCTTGTACGCACTATGCAAACGCGTGTAATCGTCCGAAACGGGGATGGGCAAATCGTCCTCGTAGAGGAAAAACAAAAAAAAAACGGCACTTTAACGCGGTACAGCTTAATCGTCGAATCAACTGGCAATGTGTCAATAGGAAACATGATAACAAAAAAAAAAAAAAAAAAAAAAAAAAAACATTTCACGGCCTCCACGCGAGTTCTCACGTCGCCTTTCCTTATCTCACCTCCAAAAAGTCCAACTACCTGGAGGTGTATGACTGATAAGCGACGGCCGTCAACTCGGTCCCCGTGAACTCGAGAGCTGTACGAACGACCTCAGAGGGACGATTTAGACCGAACAGCCGCGCGTGTCTATGTATGTACATCCACAAGTTTGACGATGGAACCGATGGTGGTTTTCCTGATTACAGGGACAGGGAGGGTTAATCTCGATTGTAGACACCTGCGCCGCGGTGAATCTAATTAGGTGTATCATTCCTACACGTCGATTAACACATGCGTTGCTGATTGCCCGAGTGCGCTGGCTAATAATAAATCACTCGTTCGTTATCGAGTTGTCTGGAAAAAGTGAACTTGAACTAAATATGAAGGAGCATAATACGAGCAAAATCCACGCGTATCGGTAATTGTACACGCGATGATACATCATGTATTTATTACACCCCCGATTTCAATAACCCTCGAAGCATCCGTACACCTGTGCGCTCGTATATGCTCCGAGTGAATAGGCAGGATTCAAGGCCCGGGTCGTAACTCTCGTGGAAAACCATATTATACAGCTCTTTTTTTTCTCTCTTTTACGATTTGCCGATAAAAATTTATGCGTTCGTGTAACAACGATGCTTATTTGCCATCTTTCAACGCGTTGTATGGCCCTATTCGAAGAAGTTGCGTATTGGTTACTCCATGTAATACGTAGCCGCAGACATTGACCTGCTTGACGGTCCCTTTGCCATCTCTTTGAAGGGGAAAACAAAAAAAAACACAATACTCCATTTTCCACGAATCATCAAAGGTATTTAGTTTGCGCTCTAGTTCTCCATAATCGCAAAGAGGAGACACGAGCGCGATAAATCAAGTTGCTCTGGACAAAATAGTGTTGAACACACTGCGTCGTATACTCTTTCTCCGCCATCATATTTTCCATTGAGACGTTAATTTAGCTCACGCGCGTGTTTTAAAAGCTCGCAAGTATATAAGGAACAAGAGGCGCGCGTTAAAAATAGTTGTACACGCGGAGCCATAAAAAAAAGAAGAAAAAAAGAAAGAATTAATAAAAATGCAGCTTGTATTGTCGTACAGACAAGTGTATTGTGCAGTTGTATTTTTACAACAGCCGAAAAGCGAAAGCTCGCAAGTTTCGCTCTTTTTTTTTCTTTGCCCTTTCGGCTGCGCGTACAATAACTCGTCGAGGTTGCGTAAGAAAAGAGAGAGAGAGAGAGAGAGAGAGAAAAGGCAGTAGGTTATTGTTGTTAGTGTCAGAGTGAAGTAAGTGCAGATGTAACAGTGATACAACAAGAACAAGAAGAAACAAACCCCCTCATCGAGATGAAAGTGAAAATGTTTCAAAGAGTTTACTGCAGCGTGCGCGGGGGCACGAGCGGCATACGAAATAATGCCCGATGCACTCGGGCGATGTACCGAAATACTTGCGCGATTTCTACATTCGCGCTCGGAGGGAGGGACAAGGAGGAAAAACAAAAAATAAAATAAAAAATCTCGCTCGAGCAAAGAAGATGCGACGATGCACATGCAAATGGGCATTGGCGATAAAGTAAAAGAGTAATGTATATACTACATGCACGAAAAGTGTATTGTGGCACGAAAGGAAGAGAGCCGCGTGACGAAACAGGAGCGCGTTCGCGACATTGGGAATAATAAGTTGGGCGCAGATGACATTGTCTTCCTTTTCATGTAGTTAAGTATACGTATACACCCGCGATGGTGGATATTGCGCCATAGGCTTGTTTACACCAATACGCATGAAAAGCGCGCGCGTGTGTATATGTATAGCGAAAAAGGTCGCGCATATTATCTTTGCCCGATGCAGGCAGCCGCTCCACCAGCCAAGGTGAAGCTCCCCCTCCAGGTTGGCCGGAGCCACCTGTTATTAGTTATAATATAACTATAAAACGCGCAAAATCTTTGCCGCGGATCGTCACTTTTCGAGTTTCCGAGTTCGCGGCGAGGACTCGGGAGCGCGGTCGCGGCTCTTGGTGCGGTTCGCGTTGTTCGTTGCCGTCATTTTTCTCTCTCTTTTTGTCTTCTTCTCCATTGTTGGTTTGTTGGTTGGTTGTTTTGTTTCAAAAAAAAGAAGAGAACGGACAAACAAAAGTGCACAGGTGATGACGGTCATGGAAGCCAGACCGAGGAATTGTCGATCGGCAGTGATGGCTGGGGCGACTCTGCTGTTTGGGCTCCTCGCTTACACAGTGTCTCTTTGTGACGCTCGGGTTGCTCCACGATTGGTGAGAAATCTTTTCGATCGATCAATTTTTTTTTTTTTTTTTTTTTTTTTTTCCCACCAAAAGAAGTTTCACCCCTCACTCATGTCACATTACAATTCGACATTCGTGGAGCTTGGGTTAAAAAAAAAAAAAAACTGTAAAACAATTATAGGTATTGGGCGGATCGTCGATGATGACTCGAAACAACATTTCCAGCTTGGGATTTGACGTACCAGGATCCGATGGTTTTCCGAGCGTGCCAAAAAATACCTGCAACAGTTGCGGTAACTATATATGCGTCCAATAGGGATATATTTATACGTACGGCACTAGACGCGTAAACCCTCGTATCTTTATAAATCAACTCTGTATTCGATTAATCTTCGATTTTTTTTTCTCTTACGTACGGTACTTTTCAAACAATGATTTTTTTTCTCCTTTATATATTATCATGTAAAATAAAACTGCCGATCATACCGATCTCTGTTTGGGCGACGAAACTAATTCACTGAAAACTGTTACTCGAACCGTATAGTGTGCGGCGTCAGCCGGCAGTCAAGAATAGTCAACGGGGACGTGACCAACACCATCGAGTTTCCCTGGGCCGTGGCGATCACTTACCAAGGCGCCCATCACTGCGGGGCCAGCCTCATAACGCGCAAACACCTGCTCACAGCGGCTCACTGCATCGTTAGGTAAGTAAAAATTAATACAAAAAAAAACAAACACACAATAAATCGGTATAAAATCGGCATCAGGTTCCAGAAGAAGTACTTTGGCCTTCGTTTTGCGGACAACGGGCATTACCGCATAAAGTACCTCTCGGTGCATCCGGACTACGACAGGTCCAGCTACAACAACGACATCGCTATTATCGAACTCGAGAAGCCGGTACCCCTGGACGGAGTCCTAAAGACCGTATGTTTACCCGATGCCGGTGAGTACATCATCTATTCGCGATAATCTCTCTCAGTTGTACCTATACGACCCAACTAAGCTCTATCGGGTCGCTTTACCGTTAAAAATCGGTTGAGTGATACAGTTACCAAAGTATCTAAATAAAAAAAAAAAAATAAAAAAAAAATAAAAAAAAAAAAATGTAATAAACATGATAACACTCGTGTCAGTGTTGCTTGAATTGATAAAAAGCAAAATCAATACTTTTGGTAAATCGACAGCGAGGTTCAAGTACATCGGGGCGACAGGCGTGGCTATAGGCTGGGGCCGAATCGGCGAGGGCGAGCCGGTCAGCGTTGAGCTGCGCAAAGTCGATCTGCCGGTCATGTCCGTGGACGAGTGCAAGCTGTCCGACTACGCGGTCAATCGGCTTACGGACAACATGTTCTGTGCCGGGTATCTCGACGGTAAACGCGACGCTTGCGGGGTGAGTGTACCTCGTTTGCTCGTATAATATGGCACAAAAACCGTACAGCCAGGGCTCATCCTTTTTTTTTTTTTTTTTTTTTTTTTTTTTTTTTTTTTTCCAGGGTGACAGCGGAGGTGCCTTCCACGTCCGCAGCGCCAGAGGTGCCATGGAGGTCATCGGTCTCGTGTCGTTCGGCCGCGGCTGCGCCAGGCCCAAGTTTCCCGGTGTCTACACCAAGGTTCCGAACTACCTGGACTGGATAGCCGCTCACACCAAAGACGAGTGCATATGCGCCCCGCCGAGCTGAGTTTTCGCGTTTATTAAAGACAATTATTGTTAACAGTATAGGGTTTGTACCAAAGCTCAAGTTTGCTGTACAGGATCTTGCCTTTGAGGCCTCTCGGGTGTATTTTGACTACAGCTTGAAAGATTTTTCTAGCCCTGCCATTATACATAATATTGATGTGTTACGTGTATACATACGTGTGTGCCCGATTTGGCATACTTGTGTGCGTACGTATACATTTTTATATCCATGTACAGAAGCCGAAGAACATTAATCTAGTCCACCAAGTGCATATGATTACGAATATATATATATATATATTTACATGATGATGATGACGATGTACGTTAACCTCCGTGAGGTGTCCTGTGATGTAACTTTTAGATCTATACGACAAAAATATTATGCAATTAAGAACTACTCTCCTCGCTGTTGTCCGTTTATTTCGCGAATCTACCAAAATTGATTAAAAATGCGGTTAATTCGAAAAAAAAGGGGTGCAGATTATCGAGGAGGAGGCCCCGAAAGCAGGCCGTGGATCGGAATGGTTTTGCATTTCGATGTAGGTTAGTGAAACCGAGCGCTATATGGAGTTGGTACATATACATTATAATATCTCTGTATTGCATATCAATTCGCCACACGTATATAGTGCAAATTGACAGTGGCGTGATACACGTATATGTTTTTTACGTAAAAGCGCGGGGGAGTTTTCACTTGTTTTCGCTTCGATAGGACCGATTGAACCGTGAAAACAGTATTTTTCCATGTTCCGCGTATCGATTTTATCGGCGGAGAACGGAAAATCCACACAATAATACGTAGAATCAGATTTCGTTTTAAGGTCAAGTCGGTGCTTACATGGGATCGATGTTGTATACATCTATTTGGAAAAACTGTACCCACCAAGTTTAAACACTTTTTTTTTTTTTTCAAACCCATATATGTGGAACGCGTTATTTCAACAACGACCGATGCTTGTGTGTATGTGTTTATTTAACACTCCCAGCATGCGCTCAAAGTAAAAGTACTTGTATTGGCATTATACACACATCTCTTACATTCCATCCGAAGAGTAACGTTACGCAGGAAAAAAAAAAAGAAAAAAAACAGCTTTTAAAGTAAGAAGTAAAAAATATTGATTTCATCTACGAAAAAAACATCGCCATCGCCAATGACATGTGAATGTATCAATAACCATGAGGCACGTGTAAAATAACTACAAAAACGATGACGGTACAGATACACGTCACGTGGAACTTGTCGATCGGGAGAAACAACTGCACATAACAATAGGTGATGCGCTTTTCGCTTTCGATGACTCATGGTGCATGCATCGTAAAATTACCCAAGTTGTAAAAAAAATAAGCTCGCGTGCTATACTGGAAAAAAGAGCACACCACGCTCGAATAGGAGCATTTGAAAAGCCAACAAAAAAAAAAAAAAAAAAGCGGTGGATGTCGGCGTCAAAGAGCGGGAGGAAGGATGTGTACGTGGTAGTTATTGCGATCTCGCGTACAAGTACGAGCGAGTACTTTCTTCGAGCCGCCGGCGGCCGAATACACGCGGAGCAGTGAAAGCAAAGATCGGCCGCCACTCGTCGACGACGCTCCCGCAACACTCCTCTTCCGTACCTGACCCGCCGCCGTCCCGAGTTTTGCACGCGCCCCTCGCAGTACCTACTCCGCGCCACTCGGCGAAATCTCCGACGCGACGGAGAAAGAGAGAGAAAGAGAGAGATATGACGCGGGCCCGGTATCACAATGCGCGAGCGCGCCCGCGGTCCAGCAGCGACGACGACGGCAGCAGCTGAAAAATCATTCGCCGAGATTCATCGCCCATTCGTTGCGATATATACCTGTCGAGGGAGATATCTCTTATACGCAACCGAGTGCTTTGTTTTTTTTTTGGTTTTTTTTTTTTTTTTTTTTTTCTTTTCTTTTCTTTTTGGCCAACCAATTGGCCAACATGGGAACGATCGTTGCGAAAAGGAGGAGGAGGATGACGACGCTCGGCTCGATCGTCGCGCTATTATTGGTGCCGATCTGCTGTCGTGGTGATGCGGGAACCGTTAAGCCCGTCAGGAATAGGATCGAATACGTGAGTAATTGTTGTGTATATACTTGTGTCGTGTGCCATTATTGCGTTTATACGTGTATACAAGTGCTGCACGAGTGTGTGCTCTTATTTAATTTTCTTTTTTTTTTTTTCTTTCTTGCGCGCGAGTAGCCAAATTTCTCTTCCAGCTCAAGCACGTGACTAAAATGCACGATCGGTCCGCCTTTTTTTACAGTAATGCGAGGACAGATTTTTCCGGTCTTTTTTTTTCTTTTTTTTTTTTTATACATGCGTCCGAAAACGCCCGAATTACGAGTTAGTGTACTTGTGTTTTCTAGTCGACTTTTGTTGATACAAGTAACTTTTTTCTTAACGATGATTTTGCTCGACGGAAAAAAATAGTTAAAAAAAAAAAAAAAAAAAAAAAGAAAAAAAAAAAAAGAAACATCGCTGAAGAGCGAAATACACGCAAATACAAAGTTTCCACGTAATGACCCTGCGACCGCGATGTATATCCGATTGATGAAAAAACAACATATTGCATTTATCGATTGGACTTGTTTGACGCGAAAAAACCCAGCGAAATCCCCGACTTTCTCTCTTTGGACACAAACATGTGAAATGCCGATCTTTAACGTTGTGGCGAAAAAAAGACTGGTTTTTCCCTTTTTTCATCGTTAGCGCAAACCACCGAATGAAACTGTAGCAGCTGTTCACTAACGCGCGGATATACAAAGAAACGGTCTTGCTTATATATCTCGCGTTTGTCAACAATTTACATGTACACGTAACTCGCCGATCGTCACCCGTAACCATGTAAACCTCGATTTACGCGTAATATCATACTTTTCGGTAAAATCCATAAAATTATACGCGCCCGAATCGTAAAAAACAACACGCATCGCCATCGTCACCGTCATCGTGAATAACAGACGAGAGAGGATCGATTTGCATTTCGATGTAAACACATCCCACTTCCGAGTCCGTCAAATTACCATTTCCTATTCCGCAGAGCTCGAAAAATCCCATGATATAATCCCCCCCCCCCTCGACGAGGCGAATCAATCCGAGCACGTATAAATGAATAAACTAGTCATCCGATCGGTCCGATCGACGGTCAACGGAAGCAAAGCGAAAAAAAAAGAGCACATTTAGCTCTCTTTGCCTCGTGTGTGTATGTACCATAACGATGATCGGATCATTCCAGGCCTTGACCTAGAAATGCGCGCGGGCGGCGTGGTCACTTTCTCCCCTCCGACACGCATCTGCTCTCACCAGCCGTGTGTGCACGTATACGTGAAAGTGAGAACGCTCGAACGTAACGTCGGACAACACCAGCTATGCATTAACGAAAGATGCATCGCGTATACTTGATTAAAGTTCATGCGCATTTTGAGACGCGAGGTGATGTGTATACGTGTGCGTTTCCAGGTCGGGAGGATCGGCAATCGCACTCCTCGAATCTTCTTCGACGAGCTGTTCGGTATCGACGTCGACTTTGGCACCAGCGGCATAACCAGTATCAGCGGTGACAATGCATCGTCAGCGTCCAATGTCAACGCCGAGACCATACGCAACTGCACGTGCGGTGAGTACCATACTACACGTCAAAAATGACTGCACAAGTAAGCCTTAAACACCAATTTTGTGTTTACGCATAGAGTGCGGGCTGTCGAACCAGGAGAACAGAATAGTCGGCGGCCGGCCCTCCGAGCCCAACAAGTACCCGTGGCTCGCCCGGTTGGTCTACGACGGCAAGTTCCACTGCGGGGCCAGCCTACTCACCAACGACTGGGTCATCACCGCGGCCCACTGCGTCAGAAAGTACGTACACACACATATATATATATATATATCGCGCGTTGACTCGCTACCTTTTTTCATTATATAATTTGTACAATCATTGTGGATGGGTGACATATATGTATATAGGCTCAAGAGGTCCAAGATCCGGATAATCCTCGGTGACCACGACCAGTACGTCAACACGGACGGCAAGGCGGTCATGAGAGCCGTCGGGGCTGTCGTGCGGCACCGGAACTTCGACACCCAGTCCTACAACCACGATCTCGCATTGCTCAAGCTCCGCAAGCCCGTCGGCTTCTCCAAAACGGTCAGGCCGGTCTGTCTGCCCAAACCGAGTGGGTGATCATTACCATTGCACGCATGTTGCATCCCTTACCGATCTCCGGTGCCAAACATTGTACGGGTATTGTTGTGTTGGGCGGTTACAGGTAGTGATCCAGCGGGTAAACACGGCACGGTCGTCGGCTGGGGTCGCACGTCCGAGGGTGGTATGCTGGCGGGTGTCGTGCAGGAGGCGAGCGTCCCGGTCCTCAGTCTCGACCAGTGCAGGAGGATGAAGTACCGGGCTAACCGCATCACCGAGAACATGGTGTGCGCGGGCAATGGCAGCCAGGACTCGTGCCAGGGGGACAGTGGGGGCCCCCTGCTCATCGACGAGGCCGGCAGACACGAGATCGCTGGTATGCGACGACATACGATCGAGATCGAGATCGGTAATTGCCTGACGCCGGTTTTTGTATATTTCGCAGGTATCGTCTCGTGGGGAGTTGGCTGCGGACGACCGGGATATCCTGGCGTTTACACGCGGGTCGCTCGATATCTCAACTGGATCAAGCTTAACATGAAGGACTCGTGCATATGCAGCCTGTGAACAATAATTTACCGATCGAAGAAGCAATATACGTGATACGTGTAAACAACGAAGATTTATCCTTTCTTTTGTGTGAAAACTCTGAGACGAATTTACATTTTACACATAAAAATATATATATTTATTGTAACGACCAAAATAGGTTTTACTGCTCTGATGCATTTGTTGTTTAAGCACACGATTGTAGGTATATGTATAACTATATTTAAGGATCAAAAGAGAAAAGAAAAATAAAACAATAACAGCAACGTATATATACGACGAAATTAAACCACTTAGATTGCCTATATATATTTCGCCGTAAGAAATTCCTCACAAACGATCCGCACTGTCGCGCTCGGGCACAAATGGTCTTTCTCTTTCACTTTTGAATAACAAGTGACGAGGAGGAGGAGCAGGAGGCCATGGGTTGTTTTCGGAATACGCAAGTAGTGTTTGGGGTAACGGTTCATTCTCTCCGGTGACGAATATGCTCGACGACGCTTCCGATTAAATTATACCTATTGTCTTTGAAATGCCGATCTCTCGTGAAGAGTATGATTTCTCGATGGCTGAACCGGTGCACTACAATGAAGGCTCCGTATTTAAAAAAAATAAACCAAGTGATAAACAATGATTAAACCATGGGACCAAGTGGTATGGAACAAATTTTTCTTGCACCCCCCATATCATGGCTCATTACGACAGTGTAATTGTAACCTTTGCGATTAAAAAACGCGTGTAGTTCAGAAAAATCGGTATGGATCAAGATAGCGCGATCGCTCTCAAATTTCAATGTATAGGTACTTTTTGATCCAGTTTGCGCCTACGATGGACCATAATTGCAGAGGACAAGGATTGAAGCAGCATTGAAGTGAGCGTATGTATATACTGTATACGTATGAGTAGGATATATATATATGTGCAAGCAAAAGAAACGAGAGGGAGAGGCAACTGTAAACTCTAGAATCCAGAACGTATATAATATGTGGTGGTTGCCGATCCGTTATCGCGGCTAGCAAGTGTCCGGCTTATATGGGCTACGCGGCGCTCCGGTCAGTGACAGCTAGCGCGGCCGTGATCGCGACCGCGACGGACCTGCTGTTAACTACATAATTTATATACATGTATACTACTGGGTCCGGCACGCAGTCACGCACATTATACTTTCACACACGCAAAAAGCGCACTCCTACCCATCCCTCGACGGGTAATAGTACACGCCGTCACTGTATAATATATATACTTCTCGATGCAGTGAGGTCGATTCGTCGACGTCAGTCGAGCCAAGGCCTTCCTCGCTGCAGCCCCCGGGATTCCCGAGCGATAGATACCGTTGGCCATCCAAATCTTGCAGGTCCTCAAATCACATTATATACCCTCTAGTTGCTGAGGGTGACTGCTGATGTGGCTGTTCAACAGTTGACGCACTTTCTTTATCATAGTATATATGTAATAATCGTGAGGGTCCTTCATCTCAAAAGTGTCGTTCTCTCTCTGTGTGCGGTGAGTGAGAAAATTTTTTATTTCAATTTTTTTTTGCGTTTTCTGTATCATTTCAGAGCGAGTTTTTTTTTGATTCATGGATTTTTACTAGATTTTGTACAAATAAGGTTTTTATTTCAACAGATCGAAGAAAGTTAAAGCAGAGCAGTATCAGGTATTATTAACACATACCATTGTCGTCGATAGAATATTGAAACATGACGTCGAAGCTCGGGCCGTTGGTGCGATTTCTCCTGATGGTGGAGATTTTCTTATTATCGGGGACGAGGAGCCACGAGCTCGACGTAAGTCGACCGATTTACGGTTTATCGCACGCATACACCTCGCGAACCGGTAATTTTCTCGCTGTGACTACGACGTTATTTATTACTTATACCTCCCGATAGTTTCACCACAAGCAATTTGTAGTTAACTCCCTCTTTCTTTCCTTCTTTTTGCTCAAGTGTTTACAAAACACTCGCATTTTATACGCTATGGTGTATTTCATTCGTTGGAAAAATGAAAATGCGTTGATATATATAATCACGAGAAATCGGTACGATGATTTCAGGCGGAGAGCAACAGAACCTTTTTCCACCTGTTGAAAAACAAAAATTTGAAAACACCCCCCGGACCTTGTTACTGCAGTAAGTATACATATAATACACACGTATACGCTTGCCCGAGTTATTCAAGTTTGCGATGTAAGTCTGAGTTGAGGAACAAACAATCGATTTAGGTTGCGGTTTGCGTAACGAGGACAGCAGAATTGTAGGTGGCCAGTCGGCTCTCCCCAATGAGTTTCCCTGGCAAGCCCGGCTCTCTTACATGAACCGATTTTACTGCGGCGCGACTCTCATCAACGACAGATACGTTTTGACGGCCGCGCACTGCGTCAAGGGGTAAGTCTATTTTTTTTTGACAAATTGTTTTTTTGATTTTTTTCTCTTTTAATTTTCAACCACCGTGCAGATTCATGTGGTTCATGATAAAAGTGACGTTGGGCGAGCACGATCGCTGCGTGCAAAAGGCACCTTCGGAATCGAGGTACGTTGCCCGGGCCTTCATCGGGAATTTCAGTTTCATGAACTTTAACAACGACATCGCTCTGCTGAGACTGAGCGACAGGGTTTCCTTCTCCGACACCATCAGGCCCATATGTCTGCCCAAAGCTGAAGGTAATTTTAACGCGGATCGGAAAATATATACATTTTTTTACACCGATTATTTGACTTCGTATACGCATACACTGTTTTTTTATTCATTTTTAATTGACACACTGATTAGGATTTCAACTCTAAGATTCGCGATTTTCGGGCATATCAAAACCACTATACATATACAATTTCTATAAAAAGCTCCTCAACGAATTTAATAGGTGCAAAAGAAAATTTGTTGCGTAATTAGTTGGAAAATGTCGCTATTTGTCAACTCTATGTATACATATGCGGGTATACGATTTTATATGTTGCTAATGAATGCGAAAACTCGGGTAAGTAAATATAGATAAAAATAAAAAAAAGACAGACCTAATATTGCATTTTTGTACAAACATAATATAACAATGGAATTCTTGCGGTTCACGTAAGTAAACTCTGTTTGGTATCGGTGATTTGTTTGGCAGAAAAACTGTACGCGGACTCAAAGGCCATCGCCTCTGGTTGGGGCACCGTGCAAGAAAACGGCAAAGCGTCCTGTACGTTGAATTACGTTGAACTGCCCGTCATGAGCCTATCGGGTTGCAGGAACACGAGCTACAGTTCTCGCGTCATTTCCGAAAACATGCTCTGCGCCGGCTACCCGGAGGGAAAAAAGGATTCTTGCCAGGTAAGGACTGTTTGGTGTCATGGTCCAACCATGGGATATAATTTTTTTTTTCTTTTTTTTTTCCATGCGTCACAAAATCTTCAAAACTTGTTCCTTTGCAGGGCGACAGTGGTGGTCCCCTCATTACCGAGAGGGGGGACAAAAAGTACGAGCTGATCGGTATCGTCTCTTGGGGAAACGGATGCGCCCGACCCGGCTACCCTGGGGTATACACGAGAGTCACGCGCTACCTAGATTGGATCAAGAGTAACTCCAAGGAGGGATGCTTTTGCGATAAGGATTAGTTTTTTCGAACGAGTAGAGGGTAGTCGTTATTTATTTACTTTGCAACTGCAATATATTCATCGCGTGTGCCTACTCATAGTGCCATTTTTCACGTATTTTTATACATTTCTTTACAATCAACTTCGCGCACGTATCATTATTTATTATTTATTGCGTGTATCTATACGTATACCTATATGTTACTGTATGTGGTTTTTGTACTCGATAACAATAAATATTATTATATATTATATTGATTATACTTGAGAGATACAGAGAGCAACGTTTCTCACCCATCGCCGCACGACTTAACACCGTAAATAACGTATACATACAGTGAGGAGATCATGTAACTACGTATTATTATTGATTGTATCAAAAATAACTGTATAAAGGTAGGTGCATCGAAAAAACAAAAACAAAACAAAAAAAAAAATACTCAGGAGTAGATAAAACACACGCGTAAAATTAATTATGAAAGCCCAGCAATTTCATAAAACCCGCATGAAGAGGCCTGTGGTATGTATAATAGGAGTGGAAAAAGACACGAGTGCAAGAAAAAGGCAAAATTGAGCAAAAAGAGGGAAGGAAAAAGTAAAAAAAAAATAAAATCATACGGGCACTGCTTTGCTGTGGTAAGTAATAATATTCCGGGGCTAGGATCAGTGTCTCGTTGACTCTCCGGCAAAAGCTATATAATTACAGACCATGAGGACGCAGGAAGTCGTAAAGTGTCTGCTTGTAGCCGTGGCCCTCGTTTTGCCCGACAACTACACCTTGGCCGACGATCGCCACGATATTACGGTAAAGTATCGTCGCAATCTATTATATTACGGTTTTTCCACTCGAGCAGGACCAATTGGTCAATGTTAATCCTTCGACAGACGAAACGCAGTGGCACCAGGAGAAACCCAAGGCGTATCTTCGACATCCTCCTCGGGAAATTTCGGCCTTGCCTTAACTGCGGTGAGTCGGAAAAAAGAAAATCCCCTTACCGATCGCTCGCTCGTCTGACCCACGTATCATATACATATACATATAATGGACAGTATGCGGAAAATCCAACCGTGGGGGTGCGAGGTTCCTGGGTGGCGAATTCACGGAGACCCACGAGTTCCCCTGGCTTGCCAACGTCCACGTGAAGAGCAGCAATCTGTACTTCAGTGGGGTACTGATAAACGACCGGTACGTCCTGACCGCGGCTAGCCAACTGATCGGGTACGTATGCAATATACTTATCGCTCGTTTAAAATTAAGGTGCCAGTGAGTGATTGGTTTTTTTTTTTTTTTTTTTTTTTTTGTCAAATATACAACAACGAAAAGCGCGACGCCACCCGAGGTGAAAGTAGCTCTGGGTGAGTACGACCGGTGCCACCTGGACGTGTCCTCGGTGAACATGAGCGCCGACGCCCTCATCTCGCATCCCGAGTTCAATTACGAGTCCCGAGCCCACGACCTGGCCCTCGTGCGGCTCAGCCGATCGACGCACCTTGAGAGGCGCGTCCTGCCTGCCTGTCTCCCGGAACCCGGTGAGCTATTTTGCCCCACGCGTGGCAGTTGACACTTATTTTCGTAGACTAAATGTGTGAAATGGGAAAGAAAAAAAAAAAAAAAAAACAACGCCCACAGGGTCGACGTACCTGGGCCACGTGGGCACTCTGATGGGCTGGTCGGAGACTCCGTCGGTGGCGGAGGCGCCGCTTACGTGCCGACCGCGGAAGCTGGGCTTGCCCGTTTTGGGGAGGCGCGAGTGCTTGAGGAGCGGCGCGAGGCCCGAGTATTACCACGAGGAGAGCGGCTGCGTCGGTGTTATCGGCATGAGCTCGATTGTCTGTCGCGTAAGGCTGGCTCTCGTTTGATGATTTACTTACAGAGCGTTGATTTGATAAAAACTCGTGGCTTTTTGTGCGTTTGTTTTTAGAACGATGCGGGCTCCTCCGTGATGCACAGGTCTTACCATGGCTTTTATGATCTAGTTGGTGAGGCTTCGACGTTTCATACTTTGATTGAACTGGCGCATACTTGTGGGTGTTGTTGATTTTCTTACGTGATCATTGCAGGTATTTTGTCGGACATCAACAACTGCAACGACACCATTGGCACGGCCGTGTACACGAAAATCGCACCCCATCTCGATTGGATTTACGAAAAAACAAAGGACGCCTGCTACTGTTTGAGACCGTTCGATGTGCCGGAGATAAAGTCCCTCATGTTTGCTTACTGATTTTTTTTTTTTTTTAATAAAATCTCCAAAAAATTGTTGCTGACCGTCGTTTTGCTTCTAATTTTGATAGTAAATTTTTCCCTTATATTTTACTGTTTTTCGTAATAATAAACAGGTCAACAACAAAAAATCTACGGACCGATTAAAAACATTTTTTATTTTTCAAATTGTTTATTCATACAAAAAACTTTCTTTAATTTACAAGTATTACTAAAAATTATTATGCAGACGTTATATTATGTCGTCATTTCACCACAATATCAAATAATTAACGTAGAATGTATAATACACTTTAAAATGCCTTCTATTTGTTTTTAGACAAATCAAGTTTTAATATTTCATAATTGATTTTACTCTGAAACTGATTGACTTTATAAATAATGTGCAAATGTACAACGTACAGTTAAGCTTTTTCTAGCAGTTATATACATGCCTCTGCTCATGAATACTTATATGAAATTTCGCGAAACCATTTTTAATGTAATTCAGCTAAAAATGAGCTAACTTCATCTTGCTCTAGTTTTGTGGGTTCAATAATGTATAGATCTTGTTACCGAAATTAGTATACTTAGAAATTCGAACTTTTATTGCTCTTTACATTAATAATATGCAAAAAAAATGCAAAAATAAAGTGTTTACATTGAATTTAGAAAGAAAAATTCACCATCTTTTAAAAAAATGCTCTAAAAGTTTGATTATACTTAATATATTATTTACAATACAGACTTGCGCTGTTTTTATGAAAAAACAGAAGCTTGTAATTAAATTTATCCAAACACAAGAGAAACAATATTTAATACTCACATTTCTGACTCAAAGTATCAATTATTTTTAATTAACAACTAAATAGACATAAAAGCATGAAAAAAAATCTACACTCACTCTTATGCAAGCCTTAGGATTGCGTTGTAACTTATAAACGATGACACAAAGTCTCAAGCATCTTAAATTCAATATCACCAAGTAATATTTAAAACTTAAGATTTCACTCAACTATTCTCATTCAGTAAATGACGTGAGTAACATTAGCACTGCACTGTGATGTAACAGCCTCTTCTAAGTTGGAATCAAGTTTTCTATAACTAGCAGTACTTGGCCTTCTTCTATTTCCTCGACCTCTTCTTCCACGTCTTCCTTCTAAAACCATTGCCAAAATCTGTGAAGTATCAAATTTTACATTAGCCTACATTACGAATTTTATCTAAAGATGCTTATATGCATCATTATGTTGGTGATGTTTTTATTTTTACCTTTTGTTTATTTGAATAGCCAATGTACATAAAGATGCAACACATTATCATGAGAAAAAAATATCCAAAAACGTGTGATTCCACTTCCTTGTCTACTGAATAAGATTTTCGTTTATTTTGATACGGTATGAGGGAATCTTCTATGAAAAATGATCAGCATTACTATTGACATTTTTTTTTTTTTCATGAAAAAATAATTATTAATACCTTGATCGTCATCTGGTAAGGGTCTTTCCTCTTTTTCCATTTCATTTAATTTATCCCCAGCTTCTGGTTCAAGACTTTGATCAAAATCTTTTGGTGGATCATCGTTTTTCTTATTTTTTTGATCTTCAGAAGCATGGACTACTTCTTCTTCAGGGTTGTCTTCTGACTGTAAAATTGGCTGCATGTGATTTTCATTGTCATCTGAAATCTTGGGTTCTGGTTTTTTGTCACTAGGAGATGGTAAACTTTGTTTATCTTTACTGCTGCTCACCATCGCAGGAATAAGAGTCCTTGCAAAAAAAATTCTTGTAATAAAAAATAAAAACTAAAAAGTTGTAAGGATAAAATATTTTCATTTATTAACTCACTGTTCTAATTTACCAGCATTATCAATCTTGGTACTATCAATATTTTCTTGCTTTTGGTATTCTGTTTTTTTAGTTATATCAGAAATTCCTTTATCAGCATTTTTCACTGGGTCTACAACTTGTTTATTTTTTTGTTGCTCAACCTTTGGTTTTGCTAACTCAGTCTCACTGGTATGAACTACACCTTTACTTTTAACTACTGTAGCCAATGTTTCTTTTGTTGTTTGCAAAGCACCATTAACAGTTGATGCATTTTTTACTACAGCTAACTTATCTTTATTGATGCTGTTACCCTGCACAGGTGGCACAGTAGAAAACAGTTGGTTTGCCCAATAAAGTACCATGCATAACTTATTCACCTCTTTAGGATCGTGACAAACATATTTACAATCACTTCTCTTCAATAGTATTTTATTTACATACTCTTCTTTATATGGTATAACTTCTTTGACAGGCTGAACATTGATGCTTTCTAGTTTGTGGAACAGAGATTCTATACTGTTACACAGACTATCTTCAATATCAATGTTATCACTAGGTTTTGGTTCAAGTTTTTTCAAATGGGCATCAAAATCATTGGCACTGTGTGGCAATTGGAGCTTATCGTTAATGTTCACTGTGCTCTGGTAAGTACATATCCTATTCATTATGTCGTAGATTACCATACATTTGGGAACGCTACCGTCTCCGGTGTACTTATTGTGGTACAACGTAGTACTGCACTCGGTTAAATAATACGAACCATTTACAAACGACACGGACGGACAAACGCTTATCATTTGGAGCATGTTTGTGTCCGAGATTGCAACAGCTTGGACACTTGCAGTAAAGTGACCAATGCCCGCGGCCAGTACGATAAGCGTCATCGAGTAGTAAAAATAAACTTCTTTGCCCATTGTTGTTTTTTACTGATTAACTTAAATTTGACCAACTCCGGACTATCCGTTAAAATAGTAATGTAAGAAAACAAGTATGTACTTAGAGGTTATGCGAACATGAAGTTGAAAATCCTGAAGAAACTCCTTAAATTGTTGCTGTTGTTATTATTGTTGATAATTCCATCGAAGGAAGGTGTACTTGAGATTCTATCGGAAAATTCCGAAATACGCGATTCCGCACTGGACATTTCCGGTCGCTCTCCGTTGTCTTATACCCAATATTTTAACTGTTTCGTTTCACTGACGTACTTATCAACACATTGCGTACTTACTAAATCTACTACGGTCCTACGGTATGTTAACTTAACGATGATTAAATGAATAAATAAATGAAAGGCGCAAGTACAACTTGAAACGCGTATGATACCATAATTTACCGACTATAGCGACAGCGACGAGACATGACGACTATATATATTTTTTTTTTTTTTTTTTTTATATTCATCATCGCCCCTTAAGGGCTCAGACATGGCTATTTTGACACTATAAAGTGTATTTAGCCATACGTTGGGTTTAATAACAGTAGGAGGAAACGGTAGATGGATCGGTAGGTTTTATTGAAGTACAACTCCCATCCAGAAAAAAACCTCATTCAATGATGAAATTTTTGTCCAGAGTGGGATTTGAACCCCGGCCATCAAGATCTGTAGGCAGACACGCTACCGACAGAGCCATCATGTGGCTTGACTATATATATATATGCATATAAATAATAAAATATATATAGGTATATATTTTTTGTGTGTACTATCCACTATATGCATGTATGTATACATATATGTATGTATATGTGTACACTTATATATATGTACAAAAGTAAAGTTTAGGTAATTATAAAAGGTGTTAATTTATCGTACATAATCCATTTCGTGATTTGCCGACAACTGAATAACAGCTGAGTTTAATTAAACCTGAAAATAAAAAAAAAAAATTAAATTCCAATTTTCTTTAGAAAATTAAGTAGCTTATAGAAAATTTTATAAGCATTGAATGATGAATTCAAATCCATGGGATTGGGTGAATTTTCTGAAAATTTCATAATTTTATCCACATACAACAATTATATATTTATATATAATTGTCGAACTGACTCTAAAGATAAGACTGGAAAAATAAACCACCAGTCGGTAACTTTCTCCATCTGTCATACCGGCTGATGTTAATGCATAATGCACACAAGTTGTGTTCAAAATCGTTTTAGTAAAAAACACAAAAAAGAAATGAAAATTAAAAAATTAATAATGTACTATATTTCTGTTGAAAAAAAATATAATGATTATTACTTATTACTAAAGGTGAGAATAATAAACAATCGAAACAGTTATAATTTTAATATTATACTTTACTTCATGTTTTTTGCTTTATTCAGTTTTTTCTGCTTTAATGCACTTGTTTTAGGATCTAAATACATTTTTTAATGCAGTGAAAAGTAATAAAAATTCCAGCTACGGCCTTCATTGTAAATTAAATTTTTCTAATTGAAACTCTGCGCATGAGTATACACGATGTCGTTCAAACGGTTTTTTAAAACGTTAATTGCACAGCTTATAGCTCTTTGGTATATATTTTATTGACGATAAAACTTTTTTAAGCTTTTTCATCTTAAACACATCTTTTATATGCATTATATTCCTGTATTCTCTTTAGACAGTTAATTGGTATGATTTTTTCTTTCATTTATAGGTACATGTACGTATAATATTTTGATTGATATTGTTTTTTTCACATTATTTTTTTGTGTTTAGTTTTTTAATTATCATACGTGTATATATAGCGAGATTGTCTGGCGAATCGCGTATTTGTAACAAGTATATATGTAGGTCTAAAATTTAATGCTCCTCTATATTAGTATCATTGTTTTTTTACAGATTTGTTAAATTTTATTGTATTGTATTTTCCACTTTAACACACTATCGGTACCTTCTTCCTCACTTACCAAAAGCTCTCTTCGGATAACTTAATTTTTTCAAGCAACGATCTGTCAGCAATCGGTATACATATTACATATTTTGTGTATAATTATGATGTATAGTCTGCCTTTGACACGAAATGAGTTTTTTTACTTATAAAAATTTCAAATTAGGCCTCCACACTCGTGTGACAAAGTATTTTTTAATTTACAAGTTGCAGATCAGGAGTGTTCGAAATTATACAAAAATGAGATTTTAATTGAAGCACAAACGACAATCAGGATGATATTATATTTAATTGGCATATACACACATCAAGTTGACTGTTGTTTATAATCAGGTCTCTCATTGTTGAAGCTCTAAAAATTGTATATGGATTTTTATTTTTATTGTTCGAACATATTGTACGCGTTTACACGTCGCTAAGGCTATACATTGGTTCGGCTACACAGCGCACTCACCGATTTGATATATTTATTACTTTTACTTTTATCGAAAAATTGGTTTTTTTTTTTTCTTTTCTTTTCTATCATGATGCATAGCAACAATATTGGTTTATTCTCTTTTCTCAGTTTGATTCGCATTCACAACTCATGGAATGCATCGGCTGAAAAGTTGTATATTCAATGTAACAAAATGAAAATCGTATGTACCTACGTTATATCCGTGTTGCAGGTGTATAAAATCGAATGGGTACAGTACTTTATAGTACTTTGTTCATTAAAAGTCATTTATTCGTCGGTTAAGCTTCTTTGTATTTTAAAAAGCTTGGAAACGCGTACCAAAAATTTTTCATACGCGATACGAATATTTTTTTTTTCCCTTCATCAAACAAGATGTAGAAAGAAGCATTTCCTCGAGCATTTCACAAAAGTGCAGCTCTACGCGCTTTCGAGCCTTTTTTTACCTGATCGATAAAATGTAATGTCGCATGAACCACGGGAGCCACTAGTTGATGTAATAAAAATTAAATTGAAAAGTAAAAATGAGCAGGCATCTAAAAAAAAAAAAAAAAAAAAAAAAAAAAAACAGTCTACTATTTCAGAAACCTCCGCCGATGTTCACACAACATATGATCAATGCTCAATGGCACAATTCCCGTTAGTATATACACATATTTATATACGTATTTCAATGCGTTTTAACATTAAAAAAAAAAAAAAAAAAATGGAGCGCAAAGAGTCAAGGACCAAGCCGAGCGAGGGCTCGTACAGGCAGCTTGATACTCAACCGCTGCTCTCCATTATCTTTTTTTAATACATATAAACGTCCCTTTATTTTTTTTTTATTTGTGCTCGCGCTTTTAGCCTAGAATTTAACGAACCGTTGGAGGCAATGACGAAAAAACGAGCCGCACAGGTACGCACCTATTTTCATATCCTTATTTTTTGTTTCCCTGCATCCATGAACGCAAAATCATCACAAGTATTCTCTTTCGTACTGTGTCTCTGCCAATCCGACGCTTACGGATGATCGGATGTACGGCAAACTTATTTTTCGAAAAATCAAATACTAAGTAAACCTGGATATGAATACTCATTTATTATTATACATGTAAAAAAAGTATTGACTGCAATGTGTACATGTAGGTATAGAATTGAAGTGGCAGAGACACGAGGGTAACGCGCATTCATTCATTTCACTGTTGCGTCTTTGCGGAGCAGCTGCTTTTCAGCGCTATACTCGATGAAGCTCTGGTAAACAACAGGCTCAGGGATATATATCTATTGTTAACTAATTCATCGTGTTTGCGCATATATATATATATACACGACGTATACAAGTATTTTTATATTTATACGTATGTATATCCCCGTATACGGACGTACGGTCTTTTTAAAACTTTTTTTTGTCATAATATAATATATAGGTGTTGTACATCTATCTATACTCATGAACTTCTTCCTGACACTCTGCAACTGCTTTTTTGGAAATTCTATTATTATAATACTATTTATTGTATCTGGTATATTTTTACGCTACGCCCTGTTGCTTNATTATTATTATTATTATTATTGACAGTAATAGTAATAATAATAATAATTGTAACTTGTAATTTTTACGATTACGGTAATTCGCTCATATACATTATGTACATTTGTATTTATTTTCTTTCCACCCTTTTGCTTTGTCTTATCTTGAATTATTATTTCTCTGCATACCCACGCGCTAAAATACAATAAGCTTTGTATTGTATGATTTGTTACCACTCGATTTGTTAGCGATTAAAACCCTTGTAAAGTTTTAAATATTTACACACTTTTACAAGTGGATACATGCCACAGTCACACACACACTACAGGCTCAGACAGTGAGACAATCATCTGTAGCTACATATTTGTTTATTGTATGCGTATGTGTGTGTGCGCGCGTGTATAAATATATTATATTTATACGTTATTGAAGCCACAAGGAGATCAATTGACAATAACTACAAAGGTCTTCTTATATGTATGCGTATATACGTCGCGAGATTTCGCAACAAACCGTTTTCCACATATAAACCTACCTACACCCTCAATCCTTTTTTTTTTCTTTTTTTTTCTCTCAATCTCACGTTGATTATTTCGCGGTCGGTATGTATATATTTTTTGTTTTCTTATTTTTTCTTAAATAAATTTCAATCTTTGTCAACGTTTCATTTAGTATTATCATTTTCATACATCGTATTTGTAACGATCAATAATTTTTATATTAAAAAACAGTCATTGGGCTACAAAAATTTTAAACAATGATATACTTTATTTCCAATGTGTTTTTGTGTTTAGTTT